TGTTTCTCTCGTCGTCGGCGGATTTGACCGACAGAGATCTCAATGTGGACCGAGAAATTTCTAAGTTGAACATTTCTATCTCTTTCAACTGGGGGGATCTCCCTTGAAGGCACCAAAGACGTTTAAAAAACGATATGACCTTGGCTGATTTCAGCAGTTCATTAGTGCAACTATAGAAACTTGAAAAACAACGTACAATGATATCTTTTGTTATCGTGTCGATACTATGTTAGCCCCATCGCCACTTGAAAGGGAAGAATCTGTTGGCAATCGTTCGGTAAACAAAAGAAGGGGGTTCGAATATCTGGTCCAGCAATCTGGTAGTTTGGTTGCTTTACCCTTCTAGTCCTGTGAAGTCGTATGGGGATTGGAAGTTATTGTTTGACCCGCTCGAAGCTTAAAGTAAATTCCACGTTAATAATTCTCAGTTTACGAACGTAACATATTATTGTACATGTTTAAGAAATGCAACCTCGAATTTGGGCCACGCGAAACAAAATGAAACGACGCTGTACAGATTTCATTACAACGAAAAAGTGTCGTGTGGTTCATCATGCGGATTCGAACCAGCGACCCGCAAGTTTCATAGTCGGCTGCTTTACCGCCGTGGCCACAATTACTTACTGACAAAAAACGCTGACGCGACTAAAACACTACGAGCACAAAACGTTGAATTAAAATGTCTCGAAAACGCAGACCGAATACCCTTTGGAGTCTTTTAATATTAGATCTCCGCCGCAACTTATATTTAATTCCAAAAGCGATTTCCACGTTCGTTGTCCCTCGCGGTAGTCAAACGCTGGTTCGTCCGCGTAAACTGACCTATCCTGTGGCTTCCCGGTGTTGGCCACACATCGGTTCGTACACTCCATTTTTATCCTGTGGTTCTCGATGTTAATGAAACATCGGTCCGTTCGCAGACCGTAATAAAAATACCTCGTCAGAGTTATTACTCGCCTCGACACATAAAGAAGTTAATTATTTTATAATCGAGGCGTTAGATAGAAAAAGAATTCCATTTCGAGAAAATTAACTTTAAAGTTTTCCCTTGAGAATTATTTAATGAAAATGTAAGACAACGATAAAGATCGAATTTTTTTTAAAGATACTGACTAATGCTTGAATAATTCCGGAGTTGAAAATTTATTTTAGAAAAACGATGATTTGAGCGTATCTTTGTATTGTAAAATGGAAGGAAAGTGGGCTGGAAGGCGATCAAGTTTAGTCGTTCGAACTCTTCCTGTCCCCGACACACAGCGTCATAAACTAATTGCTCAGTGGGTGTAAACACGCGATCTATCTTTACGCGCCTCTCGTGTCTCTGTTGGCCCGCTTTCTTGTTCCCTGTTCCGCTAACATTTTTACGACCGTGCTATAATGCGCCCTGGAATCATCGCATCCGTAGGTAATGCGTCCCAGAACGGACGGTTGGTACCCGAGCGGGTTCAGCTACTAACCAATTTACGATCGGTCGACTGTACCCACGAATTGTATGTAGTTAACCCAATTGGAATCGTTCCGGTTCCAAGGGAATCCCCTTGCAGTCATTCGTTCGCCGATTGTCTTCTCACTTCCTCGCTCTTTATACTTTAAAATTAAACGTTTCGATTAACATTCATCGGTCGTTTCGCGCGACAAAGGAAACGGTCTCTTTCGCCAGACGCTCGGCAAACGCTCGGTTTAAATAATCGAGTCGCGAAACAAAAATACGCTGAAACTTATTCGCTCGTGGACAATCGGCTTTGATCCTCGACTTCCGGTACGAGATATTTAATACCCACGCTGCACTGATCCTACATATTTCTATATAAATAGAATTAAAAAATAGCTAAAACGTTTCTAGTTTTCAAAATAGTTCCATTCCCACGTTCTCGATTTATTTTACAGAGAAGTATCGTTCGCGAGGAAGTTGTAGCATTAAATTTACCTCGGAAATGAAGATTGTTTGGAAATTGCCAATAAAGTGTTGAATCGCTTTTGTTTTCGGCACTTAAATCTTACGGGGCTTTGTTCAAAGTTCAACGACACGGTGAAAACGGGGTACGCAACGTTTAGGATAAACGATTGCTATAACCCTTAGGTGGAACCCTTTGAAGGAACAATACGGATCATTTCGACTCCACCCTAGCAGTCGAGGGGCGAGATAGCGCTTGGTCCTCGTTGAAAAACCGTCTGTCGGGAGTGTTCGATCAAATTCTTCGATCTTTGACACGATCGAATCGAAGGTTGGTCGGTTGATTCAACTCGCGAGAGACCGTTGTAATGATCCTTTCTCGTGTACGTTGCTGGCCACAACGGAGAAAGAAGCAGGAAGGGAAACAGTGGTGCGGCGGTTCTCGTTTCGTCGAGATTTACGAGAAGCCTGTTGTATTTATTAAAAGTTTTGTACCGACCGGGTTCGTGCTTCTCGCGAAAACTGTAGAGCGTCTGAAGCGATATTGTAAAGAAATGGAAGTTAAGTATCGCTAATGAAAGAAACGACAGTGAGTCGGGATGAAACTCCTGGCATCGCAGGGTTGCGAGAGGTCGTACTCCGAGCCACGACCATCGGATGTCGACTGGATTTACTGTGAATAAAAGCAGATCGCCATCGTAAATCGTAAGGTATTGCGCGGAGCGTGGTCCACGACGAAACAACGGAGCATTCAAATATCTCTTTCGAACGGTTGCATCGCGAAATATCGTATACGAAAACAACGCACGACAAAGTATCTCGCGACAAATTATCATAGTAACTTCTGATTACATTTTATTAATTACCTTCGACGGTTTGACCAGCGAACGCGTACTTTCACTACTCGTTAGCGAGTGTTTATAAGTACAATATGTGTGTGTGTATGTGTGTTACAAAGTGAAAGCGTGGGCGGCCGGGGACTCGTAGTATATTTACGCTTGACTTATTAACCCCCCCCCCCCATATTCGTGGCGTGTGGTATTGTTGTCCGTAATAATTTATCGCGATTTACCTTTGATATTTCGTCGCGCGATATTTTGGATAGTGTTACTTTACGTAATATTATTATTTGGTGATACATTGTCCTGCCACTTTTCAGATCAAAGACGTAGGAAGAAAAAGACGCACAAAGGACACGAACGTGTAGTTAAAATTTAAAACACTGTGATAACTTTATTATTTCTGGGAAACGTATCGAGCAAGTCATCGTGCATCTACCTGCAGCTTGTCCTTTACGATTCTTTATGCCAGGCGTTGCGCAACAGCACAAACGAGAAGCAGATGATATTATTTGCGAAGGCAGATGGAAAGTGCAGAATATCGCGTTTCCATGTTCGTCTTTATTTTCAACGAAATCAATTTTGCTTGATCGACGAGTCTCCGGCATCGCGGATCTCTCTGTACGACCCTATCGTATTTATGTAGAAGGTTTCCACCCCTAATCTCGATTCATCGGACACAATGACGATGATTTTGCCCACGCCATATGCGTCGTGGCTGATCCGACGAATTCATAGCCAGGAGATTCGTTTTCATCTGCTACGAGTTTGTGGTACACGACCGGCGATAAAACAGCCCTGGGAAACCGCATCTGTTTACTTCAGATTTGTGGAAGTTATAGCTCAGGCCTTTAACCCTTTGCGAACGAAAAGTATTTATTTGCTGGTCGAGGTAGTTTGTACGCGAAGATCGAGATAAAGAACGTACGGTAAACCATTGGAAATAACTAATTAAAGAAACTTCGTTGACCATAAAAAAGTATCGACGAAGGGTTGATGCTTGAACCAGAGACCTGAACCCAGAGAAGCGACTAGTGGTGTTGGAGACCAACAGATTATCGTCTGGTCAGCTAATGCTATCTGATACTGTTTTAGAGAAAGGAAGATTATGAAAGGATAACAAGGATTCGCATTAAATTGAATCCAGGGGTCTTATACAACTTGTTGAGCTATAGATGCGATTAGAGTCCAGAGGTATTGGGCGGTTTACAGGACACCAGGTGTCTCAGAGGTCTCTAGTTGGCGGTTCCGGAGGTTTTGGAGGGTCTGGAGGGTTTCTAGTCTACTTAAGTACCGGGCGGACCTGGAAGTGTCAAGACTCTCAGTCCCAGGAGGCTCTCATACATTCCAGACATCTAAGATCCTCCGGTACCCCCAATAAACTTTGAACACCAGACCGCCTCCAGATTTACGAATCCTTAAAATAACCTTTTCAACCTCGCCGGTACGGTCTGGGAGAATAGTTTTAATTTTTAACATCGACGAACAATTACATGCTACAGTCACTAGATGCGAATATAATATTATCAACTTGAATATCAGAACAGAACCAGATCCCATTTTACTTATAACTGTTGCATCATCGTTCTTACAACTGTTTCGTAACCGGAATCGATGTCATAACTGTATCCAACCCCTGTTTGCGGCGCAGCTGTTAAGTATATCGTTGCTCCGAACCCATCTTCGTGCTCTATAGATCTCTCGAGGAGCTCGAATCCTCCGGAGACCTTGGGGATCCATCCATATCGGGTTCCACGAATTCGGATCGGGCTGATTCCGGTTCCACGACCCCGGCGCCAATTAGCGTTCGGGTATCTCGAACTCGTAATAGACGAAATCGACTTTTATGACTGCGGATTTGTCGGCGTTCGCTCTAACGGCATACGGCGTGGCGAAATCCCCTCGAACGGCTCCTGTGTTGTTGTCTGTGTCGCGCGGAATGAATCCGGACTACGGGTTGTTGCACGGTTCGCGTAGAAATACTGCGACGCGGCGAAATCCGCGAAGTCGCGACTTAACAGGCAAAAACACGCGTATTTCGAAAATCGATTCCCGGGCCGAAAATTCGTCGCGGAACAATTTTATTCCGCGCTCGCGATTTAGTTTTGCACGCGGAATCGGCCGGTTTCACGGTTGCCTAGCCAGACATTTAGTACATCCACAAACACGCGGATCCGGGAAAAGCTACGGTCGCGTACCCCTCCCCCCTCCCCCCGACGCGATCGACGCGCCAAATCCTCGTATATTTGTTATGCTTTTTGTTGCAGTACTACGAAATGTCGTACGGAATCACCGTGGAGATGCACAAGCAGGTAAGTCAATACGCCTCGAAACACTTCCTTGTACCGTGTTTGTTGTACCGCGCTCGCGATTCCTCGGAAGCGCGTCCTTTGTCTCGTCGATGGTAGCCTAACGCGTCGTTCGCTGAAATTGCGATCCCTTTCAACGAAATTCCACGACGAGACGCGGAGGCGGGGGTTAACCGTGAGGGGCGACTTAAGAACGTCGACCTGATTTCTATCGCGCTCCCGAGGAGACAGCGAGGGCGGTTCAAGGATCAAAAGATTTCTCGTTGATTCGGTTCGGGAACGTGTCGACGGATCCGAGGCCCACGGGCCACCAAAAACGAGAACAGGGAGCTCCGCGACGCATCTGGCGCAGGAAATCGTGTAATTTTAGCTAATTAGGGGAAACAGTGGGCGATTCCCCTCCGTCAGCAATTTTCTTAAAAGCGACCGCGACCCCTCGTAGCACGCGAACCGGCTTCTGGAAAGTGGGACGACGGGGGTGAGTGGGACTCCTAAACTCCAAACAACCCTCCCTGACACGACGAGCTGATATTCATTAGCATTAGCGGCCGATCATTTCTCACCCTTGTACCCAGGGGCGTTGCTCAATGGGGTGCAAGCTTGGGGACAGAGTGAAGAGAGGGCGATACCGTCGTCGAATAGGCCGGTCCACCATTAAATCGGCGCGAAATTGCGTCCGGTGGCTCAAGTGGCAAACTAGTTAGCTTAGGATGCTTTATAGCGGCGTTGTTATTGCCGTGTACGATTTGCGCTTCGAATTGATACGTCGGCCTTAAAGCGTGTACCGCTTAATTGACTCATTAGCCCTCCAGTTGGAATTGCTTTCGTTCGACGCTCGAACAAGATAATTATTGCGACGTTGCGGAAATCTAATGAAACTTGTCGGACGATCCTCGTAGACTGTTTTCTTAAACTGTTCGTTGTACACGTTCCCGCCTCTTAAATTTCAATGATCTTTAAGTGTTTTTATTTTTAAAAATGGAGTCGATGTTTTCGTTGATCTTTATTTTAAAGTATCGAAAATATGGAATTAAAATGTTGAATACGAAAAGCTTCGTTTTTGACGTACAACATCGTAGCAGAAATAGAAATTTCATAGACCCGTAGGTAGCACCAATCCAGCCAAACAGATCGAATCAGGACCCATCAAATCAGATCAGATTGCCTACAGTGGCACCGTACTAGGTGAAATTTTTATTTCTACTATGTTATTACCGAAAATGGAACTTTCTTCCTAGTAAACATTTTTTCCTATATCCGTTAGTTTAAAAAAAATTTCGATCACAAATTTGAGGGTAGTTTTCTATGCAACTATACAATGAAAAACGTATAAAATCTGTTTTTAAATGGTCTGTATGTATCTAGTTAATTGGGTGTTATTTCTTGTAATTTACCTTCCACTTTCATAAACTCTCAAAGACAAAACGACGGTCGAGGGCATTTCTATATTTCTTTTCGCGTTCGGGCAAAATCGAAACACGTTTCCTGACGAGTTTGACAGATAATAATTGCGTTATTAGACTTCTTATCGTCGTGTCGGCGAAGCCTATGCGTGCAACGTCTTACTAAATTGTCACGCAAGATTAGGTTGACGTACGTTGTGTAGATTTTTTATTGCGATCCACGCAACGGTGATGCAGGAAATATTAGGGGCATATAGAATTCACAAAAAGAAACATAAATGTCCAGTTAACGCGCGTCCGCAAATCAAAGCTGACAGAGAAATACGCGGTTTTCTGTTGGAACGGCGCAAGCGACGTACTATATGATGACATAGTGTACAGAAAGACACAAATTACACCAGCCAGCAGGGTGGATTTGCGGAACTAACTGGATATTTAACTCTCAACTTGACTATTTTGTTTATTTTTCTCAAGTATAGCCTTATGTAACGTCGTTCTCGTTCATGGTTGCCAGATTAACATTTTTCATTTGAGGTGCTTTCTTTAAAAAAATCTAATAATATTTCATTTTTGGTTTTGGATAAACGAAAGATCGTGGAAGGGCGTGCGTTTAACAACCCTGCTCTTAAACTTTTTTCTTCGTGGCGCTCTGTATTTAAACGCTGAATCGTGATTAGTTTCGCAGAAACGGCAGACTGTCGTTAAAAGATTGTAATGCGATAAAAGTGGCGCGATTTAAATAGTAGAGGTTTTTCGGGATCTTGTTCCGTTAACTTTCTTCGAACGGTTTGAAACTATATACTGTTTCGTGCCGAGGGAAATGAAAGTAAGTGGTTACTCGATACGGTCGTATAATTGCTAATGGCGCGTAGGGGTGAGGCGGGAGCAATAAAAGAAAGAGTAGGAAACGGAAAATCGCTGGTCGTTGGGAAATCAATCCCCTTCGGGCATAACACGGCGACAAATTGTACCAGGGCAGTGTAACGCGACTGGTCCGAGCTTCTAACGCTAGTTAGAGAAGAAACGGAAAGTTATTGGTTCTTCTCGACCGGTTAATTTATCGCGATAACGAAACTCCGTCCGTTTACGGATTATTTACGATTTGATTTTTCGATTCATTTTTAATGATCACGAAATCTTTAATTCTAAATGAGAAATTTGTCCATTTATACTGAAAAAAATTCAAATCATTGTTCGAAACGTTTAATAAATTCGAGTTCTGTATGTTCTTTTGTTCGATTTGTTAAATATTTATCGTTTGCTGTGAAACGTAGCGACCGTGGAAGAGCGATTCATCGTTCCGTCGAAGGGGTTGATTTTTCATAGGGAAAATTCAACAAAATGTAAAATTTAAATTTAAATTGCTATGATTAATAGAGGATGACTAAGGTACTTGGGTGCTTATATTTTTCAATTTAACCTCCGTGTAAAACATCAAGAGGTTCCATTACAACCCCATTTCCGTTTCGATCGTTAAATACTTACGGTACTACCCAACCCCTCGTTGGCAAGTTAAGACGCATTGGACGAAAATTGATTACGTTGCCACTTGTGCAAATCTCAAATTCTCCTTCCGCGCGCGTTCCGTCCCCGTCGGTACTCTGTTTTCTCGTTTTGGTATAAAAGGAAGTTGGGTAGCCAGAGGGATGGAAGGGGAGAGAAAGAATAAATCACCCTCCGTTTGGTTGTCTCCGGCACTTAGCCGGCTTTCGAATCGCGGTCTTCGGTCCTCGCTCCTTTTCAATTTGAACACCGAATGAAAACAATCTTCCCCTACGAGGTTAGACCTCTCCTCTGACTTTCTCTCTTCCCCAGCCCCTCCAACCATCCCGACGACCTTCCCCTTCCGTTTTTACCCTTTTTACCCGGCACCGTTGGCGAGTCTCTCTGATTTCATCCTTTCCGTTCTCTCACTCTCTTTCCCATTAGTCCTCTGTCGCTGCCTCCACTTTTCTCCTACTCTCCACCCTCTTCCGCGGACTCACCCCCTTCCTAGAACCACCCCCGTTCTACTGTTGCCGCCACCCCAAGTCGACATTTGCCTCCCACTCTACCGTTAAAGCCCGCAGCCACCACTTTACCACTCGCTACTCGACTAACTCGAATTTGTTGGCAATGTCCCAGTTCTTATACCAGTCTTTCTCTCTTTTCGCCCGACCCTCTCCCTCTTGGGCTCTTCAAATAATTGTACCACGCGGACTGTACACGCGACGGTCACCTAGAATACGGTCACGTGTGCGTGATGTTTCCTGGAACCGATTCCAGCACGCTTTTATCAGAACGACCTCGACACCTTGATTCCAGAAACCGACACGATTCTTATCTGGACACAAATTTCGAATAAAGATTACACGAGACTTTCCATCTGCTGAGTGATAACCATTTAAAAATACAATGTACCGTAACGAAAGTATCTTTAAAACTGAATTAAAATAATGTATTGATTTTTTAAACCGGTGGCGTAGTTTCCCCTCAAAGTTCTAGTGTCGTAAAATGACACCCCTGAGCTGGTTCTGCATTGTTAGCACCCTGCAGTCAAAGGCGTTACCGTCTTTACACCCTGCAATTTTCACCAGTTCGCTATATTTATTCCACTAACTATACTCGTCAGGAGCAAACACCTCAGCCAGTCTCGATACTTATATGTCTATGCTTATAACTGCGGTATACCGTTACAGTAGAACTTTAGGTGTCCTATTTAGCAGATAAATTCGTTCCGATAATCGATTTCTCGAATAATTTATGTAAAAAAAGTTGCCATTCTTTAAAGTACAATGAACGTTAGTATCGATATCACACTGCATCATTCCATACAATTTATTGCCACGAATCGTCTAAAACCGTATTCGCTGAAAAGTTAAAAATTACACTACCATTTTAATATGTTTTCTACATACGTACTTGTACGAAAACTTATAGAATAATTTTATTTTATGTACAAAATCGCGCAAAGTCTCTTGGTAAGTCGAGATCGTCAAAAAAATTGCGCGTCGCGCCGCAAAATTACAATTTCATTTATACAGGCGACGAGTTTCAGCTTAATTTAACGAACCCATCCTTGCCGCGGTTTTGCAGGAGAACAGTAACACCGGTAATCCAACGTTACAACTTTAGATTCCGTCGTGTCCGAACGATAAAAGTGGTCTGATAAAAAAAAAAAAAATCCCTTACGCGTAACGCGGGACTGAGAAACGAGTTTACGCTTGTCGCAAAGGTAGAAACTTTTATTACTGTGACACGAGCCGCTGCCGTTACCGCTCGTTGGCAGCCGGAGAGCCTCGATAAAGTTGAAAGTTTCGCTTTTTCCGGTATCGTCGGTCTCGCGTCCCGGAGAACACCGTTTCTTCCGCGACGCCGGCATACGTTAATAATGACGTCGAAACGAGCGTCGTTCTTAGCTTCGATTAATCGTTCTCGCGATTCCTTTCGTCGATTCGAGGCTCGAGGGTGCTTGGACGATAACGCCCCGCGTACGATCGCGTCAGCGACTTTCCGCGCGTAAAATGAGTTTCCCGAATGACGCGACGATAAAAGCAACGGACCTTGAAATGTTTCTCTTTTTCCGTGGGAGAAAATTTTTTCGAAATACGTCTCGAAGGA